TAGATAACAAAATTAGAAAATATTTTTATTTGATAATATTATGAGATATTCGAACTTTTATTAATCTATGCAATTAGCTTGACGAAATTACCATTCCAAGATATATCTCACCTATTCTAAAATCTTCACCACATGTTCAGGTATACATGATCAAGGATCTAAGTTCTTACCCAATAAAAAGGACATTATCCTATAATGATTTCAGCAAGAAATCAAAGTACAACATGATATCAATCTTAACAATTCAGGCCAAGAAAATAATTGACCAAACCAACAAAGACGTAATCATTAATGGGAATACTTGTACGGGAATTAATAAACAATTTGAGTACCCAAAACATTATTTGCCCAAGTATCATACACGGACACGCAGAGTAAATATCAAATTGTTCAATCAATTGGCAGATATCAAATAATTCCAATCACATGTTGATTACAGTGCAAATAACAATCAGGAGCAACAAGAACGCAACTCTCATGTTCTGTACGACAATTATTTCAGACGCTGTGCGACAGTTAAGAACAATTCTGGCACTAATTTGTAGTTCACATCACAGGACGACGTGATTAAACTGTGAGGCGTGATTAAACTGTGAGGCAACTTAATCATATGCATAAACACATTTTTTGATACCACATGTAAGAAATTTAATGGGTATATCCATAACTATAAGGCGGAATTGAATAAACCCTAAGCATGTAATTCTATTAATTCATAGAACATGAATCTTTTGCATTAATTAAATTGCACATAGAAACTTACAAGAATCCAGCTATAGTCCTTCCCTGTTCATCTATGATGTTGATCTACGATCATCTTTCTCGTAATCTTTAATGATGGATTCGTCTCGTAACCTTCAACAATAGATTCGTCTTTGCCTATGAATTAATTGTTTTTCTCTCCCGCGTCTCTCGTCTTTTCATAAAGCCCTTGATGTTGAGAACTTTATTTCGTATATGAAGGGAGAGAGGCATGTAGTAATATATATAGGAGGAGACCTACAATCCTATTCCTACTAACATTCCCAATGTTCTAACCTAACTTACTGTCCAAGTCAAACATCACACATTGGACTCTTTAATATTAGAACATTAAATAATCTATTAAATACATATTCATCTTTAATAAAGTTTGACTATTAATTCAATTAGGTCAAACTAATTATATGGTCCACAATAATAGAATAATATATAAAATATTATTACACTTAATAGTAAATCAACAGCATTACGGATTTTATGGAGTCCTAAAACATGGCACTTGACAGAAATTTAATCGATTTCTACCAGCTGTCCAGAATAACCATGCACGACCAAAATAAAAAAATTAAACGAGAGGGATAAATACAACGAGGTTCCAAAAATTTCAGATTTAACCACAGCGACTAAAGGCTTTATATATCACCAGCGAGAATCCAACATCACCAATCACTCACATATCATGAATTTATCATAAATCAATAATTCTCACTTCAATGAACCTTAAGTCTTAATAACATAAAAATAAATAAATCTACAAATAAAAAGAGAGGTATAGACTTATACCTCCTCCGGGAATTTACAGAAAGGATGAATGAGATTGGATTTTCGGGCCTCGGACGTTGGAATCACCTCTGCTTGCTCGCGACTCGCCACGGGGTTAGAACTCGACCTGCTCGCCTTCGAAGGGTGATCACACATAGGTCTCCTTGGTCCACGACAAATTGATGCTGCTTGCAAGGGGTATGGCGTGAACCTGCTGTTCGCTGGTCCCTTCCTTTCTCACGCTAGGCGCACGCACGATGTGGGTGGAAGAATCGCGGGGTGATTGCTTCGCGGATGAAAGGTCACCGATGATCAAAGGGATGAATTTATGGAAAGACTGGGATTTAAACGATTAAATAAAGTGTATCATCTGTTCTAAACCCTCTGCTTTGGATAAGAAGGATGATATAAACGAGAGTTGATGGGAGTAGGGGTTTTTCTTTGGTGAAAATGTGTTTTTTTTCAGTCTCTTATATGCTGTAAAAATTTGAATTGAAAAGTCCAAGCCTAACTCCTTATGGTCCCATTCTTTTAACTTTGAAGCCTAACTCCTTATGGTCCCATTCTTTTAACTTTGAACTAGTCATTTTTAACCGTTTTTGGCACCGGTTGGTTTTGATGGCAAACCCTTGATATGTTGACCCCGTTTTTGTGTCAAACTTTCATTGCCTATTGTTATATGATGTAATAATGATTGGTCGAGTCTAGGAGTCGTCCTAATGTTCCAACTCTACAACTTCCACGAGCTTCTTAGCCGATGTGATTCGACTAAGTATAATTCTCGTTATCTGTGTATGAGTCGAGATAGTTGCTTATGGGACTGTCTTGACTTATGTAGGTGTCTGACGAGCAGTGTCTCAACCACCTACGACTTACCGGTTATTTGCTTTATCATCCGACACCAGGTGGGTTTATTTATAAAATTGCTATGCTTTAATTAATTGTTTTTTTTGTGGTATGATCAAAGTGTGAGTATGGACCAGGTAGCCTTCGATGTGAGTTGTACCGGCCGTCGAACGGTTATCCCCGTAGCTATAGAACGTACAGTCGGGTAGTCTCATTTATTTATGTATGGCAGTCAGGGCATGAGCCTTGGCTGGTGAACTCCGATGTAAGTCCAAAGGCTAGGTTCCGGGCATTCGGGGTGGATTTACTCCAGCTGGCTGAGCATCGATTGTAAGACCCAATAGGCATTTCGATACGTGTATCAGTTCAGTGGTCTGTTGGTATATGTGTGCACATGAGGGTTGACTCTAGGATAGGAGATGGGATATTAATTGTTTTATGTTCATACTGCGACCATACCTTTACTGTTTATGATTATTGAATATTGATTACTGCATAGTGGTGAGCACCACTGTTCCTCTTGTGCTCATCCCCACCTACTCTTCATGGATGCATGTTAATACTCGCGGGAACGATAGAGTGAGGTGAGTGGTGGTCATATTACTGTTTTTATTTCTGCTGCTTTGAACCGCTTAGTATTGTTTATGAACTTCTGATTTATGTTGAGAACTGGATGATTGATAGGGAGTGTACTTCCTAGTATTTATGAATTTGAGTAACCCAGTTTTGGGAGTTGATGTTATTGATGAACTCGGTTTGGTTGTTGACTTAATTATTAAACCTGTTTGGGAGATCCATTTATGATATGACTGGAAATTGTTTTAGAAATGAGTAGCGCCTCAAGTATTTTGAAATAAATTTCGAAAAATTTATTCTGATTTTCGTCAAATAAAAGTGGGGCGTTACATATATCCTGAAAAATACTCCATGAATGACTCGAGCATCTATACTGGTTTCTAGGGTCAAATATCTGACACACTACTGAGCATAGACTTAAACATTTGATTATCAATATAAAACTGTAAAATCAACACTAACCTGGTAGTCGGCGAGGTGTGGTCGGGTTTTTTGAAAACTTTCTAACTTAATAAAGTATTCAGATATACAAAAACGTGCTCTGATACCAATTGTAATACCCCGCTAATTTATAAAAATCAGAGTCAAATTTTTGTAAATTCTTTTCTAGAAATACTTATTAGATTGCAAAATCATTATTTGGGATGCTAAGAAAAAACCTTTCTTTTCAGTAAAACCCGTTATCTTTTCTGTGTAAAACTATTAAGAAAAACAGATTACATTTATTCAAACTAGCATGTAAAATAGTACAAAATCCGACAAGTAAATCAGATCAAAATCCGAAAATAAACATGCGAGTCTGAAATACTAAACATGTCAGCGGAAGTCAAAACGTGGCAAAATATATACAAATCAAAAGTCTGCAAAATGATATATAATCAAACCCACGACCACCGGCTCAACTCACTCCTCTGGACCGACCCTGTGACCTAAACAAATAATATAGTGGGGACGTGAGCACTAAAACCACTGTGCTCTGCAGAAACTCATGCTGACATAAAAAAGTAATAATAATTGCAATATCATGATCAACGGCATATATATAGTATGTGTTTATGTCCATGATGTAACACCCCTCCTTATCGTAAAATCAGAGTGCAAAAATTTCGCAAAGTTATTTAAAAATAAAGCCTTTTTACTTTGCGAATACTGATTCGGGGTGCTACCTTAAAATCGTGACTTAATTTGGAAAACCGTTATTTTAATTTTTAAGAAAATCATCCGGTTACTGAAAGGTGTTGTGGAGCCGACACGATGAGACTGAGGCGACCTGGGAGAGGGAGGACGGTATTAGGATGCGTTGTCCGAACTATATGTTTTGAGTTCCCCTCTGTATATTTATTTTTAGTGCCTTCAAGTTGTTTTGTTTTGAATTCCAAGGACGGAATTCTTTGTAAGGTGGGTAGACTGTAACGCCCCGTTTGATTATGAATTATTGGAGATTGTTATTATGATTATTATTATTATTATTATTATTATTATTATTATTATTATTATTATTATTATTATTATTATTTTGTTGTTCGAGTCAAGCTGGGGTCAAACCGGACACTTAGAAATAATTTCCAAGTCATCTGGCCCTAAGAAGCTCGCCAGGCCGGCATAGCCCGCGCGCAGGCAGCCCAGCGCGCGCAGGCAGCCTGATGAAGGATCGGGTCTTAGCCTCTCTAAATCGTTGAACTGGCTTGGGTCTTAGCCTCACCAATTCGATTGCATGATCGAATCTCACGACTCTAACACACGGTTTCGAACAAACGTTCTTTTCTATTAACTTCTTCCACATGAAAAACAATGAGGCAACATCCCTATTTATAGATCCTAATTACTACTAATTCTAATCTACCTAGGAAACATATTAAAGCAATAAAATATTAACTTCCTAAACATTCTAGATACTATTGTGCAAGAAGGAAACTAAATATATCAAAGTCCTAATTTGACTAGATCTTGATCTTGCTTGGCTTGCACTCCAAACAAATCAAACTAATGCACAAGTACTTGTTCGGCCACCTCTCTCGCCCTACGCGTGCGCGCCGCCCTTCGGGGTTCCCTAGTCCTTGTCGCGCGCGGCATCGCGTGCGCACGCCTCGCACACGTCACCCGTTGCCATGGTCTCCCCTAGTCCCGTGCGGACTAGGCCTCGCGTGCTGGTCACCCAATCGCGCGCCAACGCGCTTGCCCAGCTGCCGCCGCCTTCCTCATGCGCGTGTGGCCCATCGCTCGGCACTCCTACGCCCGCAAGGTTTAGGCCTTGCGCATGCGCGCCCCAATCGCGCACTCTCGTCCGCGCGCCCTCGTTATCGGCCTGTTCGCGCGCGTCCTCGCCACTTGCACGGTTGCTGCCCACGTTCGACGCCCCCGTACTCTTCTCGCGTTTGCCTGCCCGCCCGCGCGTACCGTCGACGCCTGTATCCCGATCGCCTATCGCGCGCTCGCGTACACCCGCGGTTCCCCGCGTATCGCCGACCCCCACAGCTTGGCTACCTCCTGCGAATGATTGTGCGTCACTTGCGTCCAACGTCTCGGTGCCGCGTCTTCGTTTAACGCCTCGACCCTTCGACCTCTTGCGCGCATCACCGCACGATGCGCGCCATATGCCCGATAATCGGTCCTCATCGATCCCTTTGTCCCTTGACTCCATTGGTTCTCCTGACGGCCATGAATCCCAACCATCCAACCCAATGCAGTCACCTGCACGCCATATCCAGCCATCTTCCATTCCTAGCCTTCCTCGTCTTTGAAATTCTGTATGCCATGTCTGTTTCTTCCTAGTGCACGACCCACAACATTGGCTCACCTTTTGCGCCTTTGTTTTGCGTCGTCTTTTGGCCCGGCGCTTCTTGACCTTCAACTTAGATTGCGGACCACACCCTTTTGGCCAGTATCTCTTGCATGATGGTC